GCCTTCCTGACAACCAAACATATCTCTAGCCTTTAACTTACTTAAGCAGTAAGATGGGCTGGGTGACAGGTCTGTATTGCTGGCACTTCAGAGGTTAAGATCATCTTCAGCTAAATATTATGTTCAAAGCTAGCCTAGGAACATGAAAATGTGTCTTAAAAAAGAAAACAAAAAATCAAAACAGTAAGTCAGAGACAACCCTTGCATTCCTACACTGAACTTCCTTTTCTCTAAAAACAGAGGGTAGGGCCTAAACTTAACCACAGAGGAGAAACTGCTACATGTTTTTGACAGAATAATTTAAAAGATTTTTATCCTTCTTCCCCCAGACTTTCATATACGCCACTTCTTAACAATCGACAAAAGTTATGAGAAAATTTTAAATGGTAAGAAACCAAAGGAAAGATAAAATGTATGCCAAGAATCTGTGAAACAGTTAAATCATAATTTAAAAAGTTACCACGTAATCTAGTAATTGGTAGGTATGTTCTTTAAAAAAAAATGAAAACAAGCCCACATAAAAAAATTGTACAGAGATATTTGTAATTCATAATTGTTAAAACACAGAATAAACCCCATTGTCTAACAACTGGTAAATGGATACATAACACAATGTATTCATATCACAAACATTATTCAGCCATGAAAGGACTTAAGTACTAAGAAACGCTACCACATAGATGAATCCTGAAAATACATTTTTAAATTTTTGTTTATTTATTTATTTGGCTTTTTTAATATATGAGTTTTTCTGTGTAGCACTGGCTGTTCTGGAACTAACTCTGAAGACCAGACTCAGAGATCCACCTGCCTCTGCCTCCCAAACGGTGGGATTAAAGGTGTATGCCACCAATGTCAGGCTGAAAGTACATTCTAAGCCAAGAAAGGCAGTCATGAAGGACTACATATTGCATGATTCTGCTTATACAACATGCCTAGCATAGGGTCTAAGGATGTAGCTAGCTAGCATGCACGAGGTTCTGGAGCACCACTTAAACTAGGAGTGATGGTATATGCCTCTAATCTAAGTTTTTGGGAGGTACAAACAGGAGGATGGAAGTTCCAGATCATATTTGGCTACACAGAGAGTTCGAGGCCAGTGGGGACTACTTGGGACCTTATTGGAAGGAAGAAAGCTGAGGAGGAAGGAGGAAAGATCCAGAATAGGTAAATCCATAAAAATAGACAATAGTTTAGATTGTTATTAGGTTACTCAAAGTGACAACTGATAAATACACAGTATTTCTGGAGCATAATGAAAACATTCTGGAATAAACACATCATGATTTAAACAATTTTTAATTAACTTTTTAACTATTTTTTAAATGTGTTTGGGTATTTTCCACAAATGCATGCATGTGTGAATGTGTGTGGTGATTTTGGAGGCCAGGAGAGTGCACAGAACTGTATTTATTTACAATGTGGGTGCTGGGAATTGAACGCAGGTCCTCTAGAGCAGCCATCTTAACCTCTGAGCCATCTCTCCAGTTCCTACAGTTAAATAACTTTGTCAGTACACTAAAAACCACTGAATGAATTACATGATGTGAATTTTATTACAAGGGAAAAAAAGAAAACACTGGTTTGGGGTGTAGCCTTGGATTCCACACCCCCCCCCATTTGACACAGAGTTTCTCTGTGTAGCTTTGGAGACTACCTTGAAACTTGCTCTGTAGAGTGTTGGGACAAAAGACATTTGCTACCACCCAGCTCCATCCCTTCTCAAAAAATAATAATAGCCGGGCGGTGGTGGCGCACGCCTTTAATCCCAGCACTCGGGAGGCAGAGGCAGGCGGATCTCTGTGAGTTCGAGACCAGCCTGGTCTACAAGAGCTAGTTCCAGGACAGGCTCCAAAACCACAGAGAAACCCTGTCTCGAAAAACCAAAAAAAAAAAAAAAAAAAAAAAAAATAATAATAATAATAATAATAAAACCAATGGTCACAAGGAGCTCTGAATTCCAAGCCAGCCTGGTCTACAGAGTGAGTTCCAGGACAGCCAGGGCTACACAGAGAAACCCTGTCTCAAAAGGCAAAACAAAAAGTCAAAACCAAGTAAAGATATCCCCAGTGCAGCATCCCTTCTTCTCAGTTCTTCTCAAAACATTTTTACTCAAAAAAAAAAACCATATACTTGATGTAATCGATCTGAAAATGACTGGAACTCTAAAAACATCCTAACCAACAAACAAAGGCACCTGTTCATTTTGATAATGTTTTTATAACATAGAACTTTCTTAAAATTTAAGCCAGGCGGCCGGGCGATGGTGGCGCACGCCTTTAATCCCAGCACTCGGGAGGCAGAGGCAGGCGGATCTCTGTGAGTTCGAGACCAGCCTGGTCTACAGAGCTAGTTCCAGGACAGGCTTTAATCCCAGCACTCGGGAGGCAAAGGCAGGTAGATCTCTGTGAGCTTGAGGCCAGCCTGGTCTACAAGAGCTAGTTCCAAAACAGGCTCCAAAGCTACAGAGCAACCTTGTCTCAACCCCTGCCCCCAGGAAAAAAAAAAAAAAAAAAAAAAGAAGAAAGAAAGAAAGAAAAAAGAGAAAGAAAAGAAAATTGACTTGACAGGAGCCTTATTCTACAGTAAATCTGAACAAGTACAGTTAGAAATAGCTGGGATAACTCACAACTAGAACAAAACACATCCCAGCTGACAAAGGAGACCGACACCTTGGTGTAGTCAGAATGTAATGTCATCAGAAATCCAAATTGTGATGGATGTATTCTTATTGTTTTCTGTGTCAAGCATGAGACAATGCCTTTCAAAAAAAAAAACCAAACGAAAACCATACTAAACCACACTAATTATAGGAGTATGTTCTGTATTTAAATTATTGGATTCAACACTCAATTGCTCAAGAGGCAGAGCAGTTTTTCAGCATGCCTAAAGTCCTGGGTCCCATGCCCCACACAACAAAAAATAAATAAATAATAAGTAAATAGAAAATGAAAGAACATAGGGTTAGATTTTTTTTTTCGGTGCCATGGATCTATTAGGCAAGTCTTCTATCACACCCACACACCTAGGTTTAGAAACTGAACATTTTAACTATCTAGGGTGGGGATCACACTAAAATTACATTCAATATACACACAAAAAATTAAAGTGCTACGCCCAGGTGCTTACTTCATTCTTCTAGTGCCAGCACTAATGCTTAATTGCTGGGGCAGATAAACTACAGTCATGCTCATGTATAAGATATTTCAACTGGCCAAAACATTAGTCATTTACTTTTTTTTTGAGTTTTGAGACAGGGTTTAGGTTTTGGAGCCCACCCTGGTACTCACTCTGTAGACCAGGCTGGTCTCAAACTCACAGAGATCCGTCTGCCTCTGCCTCCCGAGTGCTGGGATTAAAGGTGTGCGCCACCACCACCGGGCAGCATTAAGTCATTTATTAAGGGGTTCTTTAGCCAATTGTGGTGGAACATTCCTGTTATCCCATAATGAGTTCCAGGACAGTCTTGGCTACTTAGTAAGAGCTGTATTTAAAACAATAAAATAAAATAAAAAAAGCAGGTGGGTAGTGGTTTTTGCCTTTAATCCTAGCACACAGGAGGCAGTGGCAGGGGGATCTCTGAATTCGAGGCCAGTCTGATCTATAGAGCAAGTTCCAGGGCAGCCAGGGCTACACAGAGAAACCCTGTCTCAAAAAAAACCAAAAATGAATTAATTAAAGTTAAAGGGAACATAGTGGGAGGCGGATATGATAAAAGTACACGGTACACAGGATAAGATTCTCAGACTAAACAATAGTATATACAAAGAGGTATTTTACATTTATTTTTAAAGTCCTACTTTTGAACATTTACTTCAAAACAGAAGGAATAACGCAGAACTTTCAAAAGGAAATCCAGATGTGTGCACTGGAACACCTTGAAAGTATTCAGCAAATCACGTTAATCGCGAGACATAGCCAGATTCTGATCTCAGTTTTCTCCTAAAATAATGCCTGGCCTACACCAGTTCTACACAGATTCAAAATACATAAAACCCAAAGTTTATGGAGAATTCTTGGTGATGACGCCATTCAAAGGCACTGTTAACACAGCACTGTGTCACCAGGGTTCAACACGGCAGCAAGGAGGTTAGCAGTGTAATGATGCGCATTCGTAGCAAATCAGGCCTAGAGAGATGCTGATGAAATGCCATTTACTCAAAAAGCATTAACTAAGCATTTAACAATTACCTGAGGATCATCGGTCTTATCCAGCATTGGCAGGGGGTTCTATCCTTTCCCTGTACACCTTTGAGAGTGGAGAGGAGCCATGTGGCTTTCCTATATCTTTGCTGGCCCTTTCCTGGTGGAGAGATAACCGCACCACTTGAAAGTATATTTAGCTTCTCCTTTTAGGAGTCGTCCTTTCTTTAAATCTGCTTTTCCACTTCCCTTCACCTTTGTATACCCTCCCTTCAACATCTTGTGTTCCTCCTTCTGCTCTTCAACATCCTTCACCTAAACTTCTAGCCCGTCTAGGGATTACTCAATAATTTCTCAAGGCATTTGCGATCATGCGAGATATTCAAGTATTAACCCCATTCATTGGGCATTACTGTTACTGCTGCTCAACCTCTCCGTTTCTCCTTACTCCTTCCCTCTCCGTGTCTACTTCGTCTCCACTTTGACTGTCCCAGGTCACTGCCCCGAGGCTTTCTAAACTGAGTTTCTACCACAGACTTCCCCTCACTATGCCCCCTTCCTCCCGACTCTTTTCGGTCATTACTCTGGGATCCCTCGGATTTTGCTCCGGTGGCTCAACCTCCGACGCCACCCCTACTTCCACTAAGTGCCCCACACGGCAGCTTAGGGGCGCTCCACTCTCCCTTCCACGGTCTCCCAAACTTGTCTTCCCCTCAAGAACTCTGCAGCGCCCACCTCACCAGGACCCGTCTCCAACAGGTCGGCGACCGCCTTCCCCTTCAGAGCCTCGGGGCGCTCCCGCCGCGCGCGCCCACCCTATGGCCCGCGCCCTCCAAGGCCCGCAGCGGCCCTCCGACCTGCCTCTGCGCCTCCCGCAGCCCCTGCAGCCGCTGGCCCAGCTCCCGCCGGTAGCTCTGCGCCGCCTCCACGTTCTCGCGGGCTTCTTGCAGCAGCACCTCCGGCTCCGGCTCCATCGCCTCCCTCATCCGGCAGCGTAACCCGCCGGGCTCCCGACTGTGCCGGGTTCCCGCGAGCGGCCCCGAGCGGCCTCGCGCAGCGGAAGCGCCGCCCCGCCCTGCCCTGCCCATCGCGCCCCGCCCCCCGCCGCTTGATTGACAAGGGACGGGGGGCGGGTACACGCTCTAATGGCGCCCTGGTCAGAGCGAGTGGAACCTGTGGCGCCGCCTACCTAGCTGCTCCCCCGGCCTCTGTGCTGCGCCGGCTCGGACGCTTCCTCAGGAAACAAGTGGAGGCTTTAGTAGAAACTCGTGAATATGTCGCTAAGCGCTTCCCACTGCTAATCTCAGGCGCTGCATTATCTGTCCTGCCAGAGGAGGAAGTGGAGGGACACGGGGAAATCTCTCCCTCCCAGAACCGAAGCTACAGCTCTGGCCTGCAATCGTCGCTCTACTACCTCCCTAGTAAATGCCAACCGAGTCAGGCATTTTGGGAGGCTACTGTGACCCAGGCGCCACCACCTAGATACTTTAAGGAGGGAGGTAAGAGGGAGGCCCAAGTAATGAACCAGCTAGTTCTACAGGGATCTTGGCAGAACTCCAAGGCGGGTGTTGACACGCATTCTCCGCAACGTCCACTGATACACAACCCACTTGGCCAGTGCTAAATTGTGTGCTTCGACGTGTTAAGTAAGAGGGTGTGACCATGTGCAGTAAAACCTTGTCCCTGAGGAGCGTCACGTTCTTGTAGTCCCAGCTACTGGAGAGGCTGGGGAATGAGGATTGCTTGGAATGGGGAGCTAGAAGCCAAACTAGACAAGAAGGCAGTAAAAATAAACCTTTGAACACTGACATTTAGATATGCAGTAATTTTCACGTGTCACGACATGGTCTGTATTTTTTTTCTAACTATTTAAAAAGGCAAAAGTGATCTGTTGGAAAACCCATACAAAAACTGGTTGGAGTTGAGTCCATAACCCAAGGTGTCAGCTGTGTAAATTGTCTTTACCAGGACTAGTTACTGTCCGGGATTGTCTCAGAATTATGCAATGAGTCCGAATTAGAGGCCAGATCTCAGATGTTCTGGGCCAGACTTCTGCTCTTCCTACACGTGGTCTGGACTCAGGGACATGCACCTGTAATCCTGGCGCCTGGGGGATCAGGAGCTCAAAATAATTCTCTGGGGGCAGACATAGTAGGTCTGTGGGCAACCTGAGTGAGTTCTATGAGACCCTGTTGAAAGGAGGTAAGGTGAAGAAAAGAGGAAATAAAAGAACACTTGAAAGTAAGGAAAGTAGCTGGTTGATGGTGGCTCAGGCATTTAACCCCAGCACATGGAAGGTGGCAGAAACAGGCAAATCTCTGAGTTCGAGGCCAACCTGGTCTATAAACCAGCATGGTGGTGATGGCACAGGCCTTTAATCCCAGGGAAGCAGAGGCAGGCGAATCTCTGTGAGTTCAAGGCCATCCTGGTCTACAGAGTGAGTTTCAGGACAGTCAGAGATACACAGAAAAACCCTGTCTCAAAAAGAAAAAAACAGCAGAAGTTTCACAACAGTCAGAGCTACACAGAGAAATCCTGCTTCAAAAAATAAATAAATAAGAAAGTAAAGAAAATAGAAGAGAGACACTTTTGAAAGAAAAACAAGGGGAACAGCCAAGAGAACTGGTTTTATCCTAAAGATAAAGTCGCCTGGTCCTCAGTAGATAGTTCTTACCGGTTTAATGAATTGAAGCATTAACTAAGTAAGCAGAAAGCAGCAGGCCAAAGTAGGAAAGAACAGTGCTATCTCAGATAGGACAAAGTGGGAAAGAACCAACTAGGAGATAGAAACAAAGGAGACTCTTTAACAACAGATAGATGAGTGTTGCTCAGAAGACAGGACTGCAGGCTATCTGAGACAGGGATTTGACTCCCAGAACCCACATGGCAGCTCACAACCCTCACAACCATTTGTAACTCCAGATACAGAGGATCTCGTGTCCTCTTCTTGCCTCTGCAGGTATGTATGTATGTACATAGATATATATATACACACATATATACATATATGTATATATACCTACATATACACACATATAGGTATATATATGTAAATATATATTTGCAGATAAAAAATTCATATACATTGTTAAGTTGGGAGCGTAGCCCCCAGCCCCTGTCATCTGTCCGAGCCATCCAACCTGGCCTGGAAGTTGCATTGCTCTGGACTCCAAATCCCAGATTGCCAGGTCCTGACACCCTCCCACACCACTCCCACAGGATATTTAAGTGTGCACCCAGAAGAGAAACACATGGTTTTCCAGTCTGCTGGTCTGCATGGGCTCCCTGCTTTCCTGTCTCCCTGCCATGTGCTCAGCCACCCGAGCGTGTCATTCTTAATAAAACGATGGGCATTTTGATTTGGTTTGATTTGACCTAATTGGATTTCTTGTGCCGGCAGAGCTGCCCTTTTCTTATTATTTTTACTAAAAACACATAAAATAAAAATAAATGGTAAATCTTTTTTTAAAATATGTTAAAGAGCAAGAAAGACTAGAGAGTTGGCTCAGTGGTCCAAGAGCACTGGCTGATCTTCCAGAGGACCCAGGTTTAATTCCTAGCACCTACAAGGTAGCTCACAACTGTGTATAACTCCAGTCCTGGAGATCTGATGGCCTTTTCAGACATACATGGAAGCAAAACACTCATTCACATAAAATAAAATAAAAATACCTTTTTTTAAAAAGCAAGGGCCTTGCAGTGGTGGCACATGCCTTTAATCCCAACACTTGGAAGGCAGAGGCAGGCAGATCTCTTTGAGTTCAAGGTTAACCTAGTCTACAAGAGTTAGACAGTTCCAGGACAGTTAGGACTGTTACACAAAGAAACCCTGCCTTGAAAAACCAAAAAGAAAAAAAAAAAAGAGCAAGGGCCCACTGGGTGTTGTAATAGGAGCAGCGGGGCTGCGTCCCCGGCACCCGGCCACCCGCACGGCTAGCTTTACCCGAAATAATTACATGGAAACTGTATTCTTTTAAACACTGCCTAGCCCATTAGTTCCAGTTTCTTATTGGCTAGCTCTTACATATCGATCTAACCCATTTCTAATAATCTGTGTAGCTCCACGAGCTGGCTTACCAGGAAAGATCTTAACCTGCATCTGTCTGGAGTGGGAGAATCGTGGCGACTCCTCAATCTGCTTCTTTCTCCCAGCATTCGTTCTGTTTACTCCGCCTATCTAATTTTATGTCCTATTAAAGGGCCAAGGCAGTCTCTTTATTTAACCAATGAAATTAACACAAAACAGAAGACTCTCCCCCATCAACTGGGCAGTAGTGGTGCATGCTTTTATTCCTAAAACTTGTGAGGCAGAGGCAGGCAGATCTTTGAGTTATAGGCCAGCCTGGTCTATAGATCAAGGTCCATAGCAGCCAGGACCACACAAAAAAACCCTCTCTCAAAAAGTCTGAATGAGCCGGGCTGTTCATCCCAGCACTTGAGGCAGAGGCAGGCAGACCTCTGTGAGTTCGGGGCCAGCCTGGTCTACAGTGCTAGTGCCAGGACAGGCTCCAAAGCTACATAGTGAAACCCTGTCTTTAATACCTGGGAAAAAAACCAAAAATACTGCCCCAATGGTTCTACATGCAGAATAAAAGTCTCAGTGACCCATTAGATAGATAGATAGATAGATAGATAGATAGATAGATAGAATAAAGTCCAAATGGGAAGAAAAAAAAACCAAAGGCCTACAAATTCAGGATAAGGAATATTGCCTTAGCCAGGCATGCTGACATGCCTGTAATTCCAGCATTCAGAATGCCAAAGTAGAAGGAGCAGCTGAGGCCAGCCTGGCCTACATAGAGTTGAAGGCCAGGCCAGTCTGAACTACCCACTAAGAGCCTGTTTCAAACAGCCAAGAGTTATGCTAGTAATGTAGGCCAGTGATAGAAGGCTTGCCTAGTATCTTAATTGCTGTTCTATTGCTGTGAAAAGATCATGGCTCAGGCAATTCTTACTGCATTTAATTGAGGGCTTGCTTACTGTTTCGGAGGGTTATTTCATGATCGTCCTGTCAGAGAAATGTGGCAGCAGGCAGGCAGATATGGCGCTGGAGCAGTATTTCAGAGCTCACATCTGATCCATAAATTACAGGGCCTGGAGGACCTTTTGACATCTCAAAGCCTATCTCCAGTGACATACTTCCTCTAACAAGGCCACACCTCCTAATTCTTCCCAAACAGTTCCAGTAACTAGAGGCCAAACACTGAAATACATGAGCCTATGGGGACCGTTCTCATTCAGACCAGCACACCTAGCCTGTCCAAGGCTCTAGGGTCAATATCTAGCACCAGCAGAAACAAACACAGCAAAGGCAGTGAGTGAGGCTCATGCACTGCCATTTATAAACCAAAATTTTAGGAAAATAAATGGTAAGTGGGGCATGGATCCATCTTATCTGGCTTACGACAATGAAGAGCCTGGCATACACTAAATCCTCAAAAACATTTATTCAGTGAAATAAATATATACAATACAGGGTGAAGAGCAGAATAAATCAGAAAAAAACACGTGACATTAATACAGTTATGATAATTATGAGGGAGGCTTGAATTAGGATAGTGAGTGACCATTAGGTTTGACAGTAAAAAGAAGGGAAAAGGTAGTCAAAAAGATCAAGAGAATAGTAGGACTTTGGCAAAAAAAAAAAAATTAAAAAAAAAACAAAAACAAAAGAACTCAGTAAAGTCCAGGAATAATTAAATGTTTGTGTTTGGGATTTCTTTCTTTCTTTTCTTAATTTTATCTATTCATCTGTTTATCCATCTAATTTTTTTTTTTTTTTGGTTTTTCGAGACAGGGTTTCTCTGTGGTTTTGGAGCCTGTCCTGGAACTAGCTCTGTAGACCAGGCTGGTCTCGAACTCACAGAGATCTGCCTGCCTCTGCCTCCCGAGTGCTGGGATTAAAGGCGTGCGCCACCACCGCCCAGCTATCTATCTAATTTTATATTTATTCTATGTATACCATGTGTAGAAGTCACAGGAAAGCTTGCAGAAGTCAGTTTTCCACTTTCTACCATGTGGGTTCA